ATAAACGCATGATATACTACTCCACGGACAGTTCGAACATGTTAGTCACTATTATACAAAAGGAAGTTGAAAACAACAAAACTGAAATCCAATACAATTTCAAATCATAACCATTTATAGAGACACATCGAACTAAATAAAAAGGAAAATATTATACATGTAACATAATATAGCTTGTATATAGACATTAGTCGAACGAATAAAAGCAAATTATCAGAAACCATCTTGCCATTTTTACAATAAAAAATCAAGAAATAAAATTAATATATTAAAGTGAAGAGTTAGAAATTTACTATCTTTCTCTCGCGAAGAGTTTTTTGTTTGTAGTGTTGGGTGATGTAAAGAGAAAGCAGCACATAATACTTTTTTTTTGTACCAAGCTTGCGGCTCACGGTACGTGATGATAATCAAATTGTCGGAGTAGGATTTTACCAAGAATATATCATTAGCAAAGTGTGTCTGATCATCAAATATCGCACCAAGCCGAGAACTGCAATCATCAACTTTGAAACCAAATCGAATACAAAAATCATACTTTCTTAAGGCCGAGTTAATTAAACTATGAAATCTAGAAAATATAAAATCCAAAGTTAGACCAAATCATCGAACATAAAAAAGAGGATCAAAATGATTTAGAGAAGTTCAACTTATAAGCACGATGATCAAAGTCATACGATAGAAAAACATTAATCAATGTGAATCTGCACAAAGAAAATAAATATAAAAAGGAGAAACATACGTATGAAGCAAATTTAATAAGAAGGATTGATTTCTCTACATGTGAAAGAGAAAGAGAACAATCGAATATTAAGTTTACAAAGGTAAGAAGGGGTATATACAAGCATGGATGATATCATATCATTTAAATTCACCTATTTAAGTAGTTACCTTGGTTAAAACCGATACTTGTATCTCGTAGTCTGAGAAGCTTACTCAAGCATGGAAAGCAAAAAAAAAAGATATCTATTGAACGAATTACAATAAGAAAATGCAAAAGATGAGTCTCGACTTATTAAAAATTAAAGATCAATGCGACCAAGTATTGTATAAAAAATAGTTAATCAGCATGTAAAATGTAATGAGTTTTACCGCATGGAAAGCTCATGTATCGGATTAAACATCGTGAAGGTGGTTGAAACCCTCCAACTACTTGAGATTTTTCCATGCTTTCTCCAAAACCTTGGCCTCGTAAAATTCTTAGTCTCATCAGCCACCTCGCAGTGAGATGGTGCATTGTTCATGCCACAAGTTGTGTTTTCGCACCAAAGACTCTCCTATACTCCAGAATCACTGTCTTTATACATAAGAGAGATGGTGTCAATATATGAACAAACCAAAAACCTCTCTTATAGTCTAAAGAGAAACCATTGTCTTTATTTAATCAACACAAAAAAGAGAGATCTATATGTTTGTCACGAAGTTTAAATATTACAGACCTCGTAAATCAGAAAACCAACACACACAAAACCTACAAAACATAATAAAAAAACCTTGAAACAACAGTCCAGTTGCTATCTCTCCACGGTAAAGCAAGAAACATAAAAGTAACTTCTTACTTCTAATATAAATATGCGAACCCC